AAATCAGTGCGGGTTCTTTGTTAGAAGAGACAAAGGGCTGGAGTGGTACTGTAAATCTGTCAGCAAATACTCAAAGGATTACTTAATTAAAATGTTTAATTAAATATTTGTTGAAAGCAAAATCTCTCAGAATTGAAATGAATCCACTGAAACAAGTAGTGTCTTCAAAGCATTGCATCTGATCTGGTCACTTGTCCCTTCTGATTCTGTCTGCGGTTATTTTCAAACATTAAAGTGTCAGTTGTCTCATGATAGGAAAGTTCAGCATAACAACGAGATGTGAATTAGATAATTTAAATTAAAAAACAAAAGTGTCTTCAGGCTTAGATCTGTGTACATGCCCGCTAAAAATTTAGCTATAAAGTTAAATATATAGATATAGATATTTATTTATTTATATTTCAAAATTGTAATTTTTTACATTGCATGCAAAACCAAAGATGATGCCCAGTGCGGCTTGCCTTGACTTGAACTGATTAACAAAATTCTGACAGACGTTTTTCTTGAGTAAAACGTTAGCAGATTGACGCACAGAGATAGTGAGACAAAGGTGATTCAGCCCTTGCTGTTTGTGTCAGCCCCCGCGTGAAGTTAAACTCAAACATATAGTGTGTGTGTGTGTGTGTGTGTATATGCGTGTGTGTCTGTGTGTGCGTGTGTGCGCATGCATGTGTGTGTGTGTGTGTGTGTCTGTGTGGGGGGGGTACATGCCTGTGTGTACATGTGTACGTGCGTGCATGGTTAGGTTCACAACAGGAATGTGTGTATGTGCACCGCAGCTGTTTACTTTAACTTTTGATGATGACAATGATTGCTCATGGCTTTTTATCAACTTTTGTTGTGACAAGTCACTCATGCCCATCAATTATATCACCTCTTTTGCATGAAATCAAACGTGTATTACAGTACAGTAATAAAAATTTAATGTTTGTAGTCACATTTAAATTGTATAAAACAGTAAAAATTATATTGGTCTTTAGGCTGTAAAATAATATTAAATTAAGTGAGGCTCAGGATTTTCTGAAGAAATATAATTTTTTATTATGCTATCCAAGGGTAAACTGACTGCTTTTGAATTTGATCTTTTAGTGAGTGGTATCCCAGATGAGACAGTCCAGGGCTGCAGACGCTCTGGACGGGTACTGCAGAGAAGACAGAGAGGGGCAGTGTGCAGTGGGTGTGAGAGGAAGGTGTCCCAGGCTGGGGGGGGGGGGTTACAGAAGGGGTACGTGGGGGTGGGGGTACAGGATGGGTCCATGTTTGAGCGTGGCGCAGGACGTTACTGCAGTGGACGGTTCTCACAGAGGCGCGTCTGTGGGCCTATAGGGGAGAGGAGAGTCAGCACACACTGAGCTCTGTTGTCCTGTCGCGCTGACTGCATATGGCCAAAGCATTAAGCACAGTAGAAAAAATAGCCTTGTATTGAGAAAACAGGCTGGAAAAGTACATCTCTTTCTGTCTGGAAGAAACTTGTGGATTAGAATGTGCGTCATGCCATCTTTGACTGAGGCAATTTATTGTAATTATACTTGTAACTAATTAACAGTCCATCCTATATATGGAGTAGCTGTCATGTGCATCATATGTAAAAGGCATATCAATCAGAAGATAACAGAATATATTTTTGAGAATTAAGAAAAATGTAAGTGAGTAACTTTATGGTGGAGGAGTAGGATACACTGATGTTAATACTGAAAAGGCTGCACTGCAGAAATGTAAAAGCTGAATATCGAATCATTATATTTAGAAACAAAACTAAAATAACTGAAGCATTTAAGTGGTTTATTATGCAACTATAATTTTTTTGTACAAAACACACACCCCTACACCAAGGGAATAATACTAAAATATTGAGAGGACCCTTGAGACCAAAAGTTACAAGGGGTTGCTTTAGTTTAGAAGAAAAATCATTACGCACTCAGAGGCAGGTAATTTACAGTGACGGCAGCAGATGGCAAAGCCCCAAATCAACAAGTCAGTGATTCGCTCATACACCGTTAACCTGAAAGTGCATTCATTTATCTGACAAGTATCATGAGTCACACAAGGAACAGCCGTTGTTTCAAGATTTTTCCTGCTTGGAATTGCTTTGGCAAAGATTTCCTGGTCCAAGGAAAAGTATGTGCCATGGTCTAATTCTCCATGTCTTTTCATCAAGTTCTGGACTGGGCACTTGAGTCTGTTGCCATGTCCAAACAGGCTCTAATGTTCCCTATTTCCCTTTTGAAAATGTCTCAAACTGAACCAAAGGAGCAGGGCAGGATGTGGTCCTATGTACTTGGCAATGTCTGAATGTCACGTGTCCTTATGAGCCAAGCACACTGCCCTGAGGTGTGCTATATGATCTCTTTCAACTATTTGTAACTACACCAAGTCATCTGATTACATGGAGTCAAGATTTGGTTTTGGAAGCCAGTCACGAGTAATTGTGGATGTAAGAAAAATAAGGCTCATGTTGCAATCTATGCAAACTATAGTCTAAACTATATGCAAGTCACAGATGTGCAACAGGGCGGTACAGTGATTTAGTCATGTTATTCAATCAAAGTTTTCTTTTTATTGCATATTATTTTATTAGTATAATAAAGATTTATATGGAGAACAGCTGCAAGGAGAAGTGATTATAGGAGCTCAAAGATGACTTTTTCATGCAAACACACTGTACTGTTCTGCAGGCATAATTGGTATTTTGTAAACTCCTTGAGCTTCTAATGCATGATCAGATCATAGACATTAGAGATAGAGATAATAGTTTTGGCAGCTCCAGACGATGTCCCCTTCTAGTCAACTAATTAATGCACAGGGCATGTCTTAAGTTGAACCATAATTTATTTTCCATTTGTAATTAACATTATAGTAATAATCAGCAATATTTCAAGATGGTTGTGGAAGTGTTAAAGGTACACTGCACAACTTTTCTGGTGAAGCTGCTTGTATCCATGGAGATATTATTGCTTTCCCTGGAATGTTCCACGGTATGACATTAAACATTTCTATCTAGCCTTTACGATATTCATTATGGATGTTTCTATTGCTAACTAAAAAAAATCCTTCTGTGAATAGAGGAGACTCTCCACAGATCGGAATTGTAATGTAGAGTGGTGTTATAACCTGCTTGTCTCCCCTGTGATAGAGACAAAGCAATAACATTTCCATGGAGACATGTAGGTGGTAGACCCTCCACTAGAAATGTTTCACAGTGCACCTTTTAAACATGCAGTTCAATATATTTGGATATACTTGTGAAAAGGGCTAAATGAAATCACCACAAACATAACATAAGAGTCTTATGACTAAATTTTATTTGAAGAGGTCAGGATGTCCAGTCACTGATTACATCTCAGTATTTTCAATACATTTAAGGTTTACCAGTTTCCTTAAAGAGCAACTTTGTTCAACAGACTCTGTACGCCAACTCTTTCCTTTGAAGTACTTTGATCCACTATATTGACGTAAATTGGGGAGCAGCACGCTGGCTCCTCTGTTGTGCTAAGCATATGGACTAAATGTCTTCCATGTGTGAAACAGTATGTGGGAGAGATCAGGGTTTTCCATAGATAAAGGAAGGTGGGGTGATCCACATAGACACAGCCTCCGTCTCCCCTGGGCCAAATTCTCCCATATATTAGTTTTCCTTTTAATTTGTTTTCTCAATTTGGGGCATTTCATTTTAAACGTTGCAACATGTGAGTCATGGCTGTAGTGACGGGGTAAAGGGATGGCGTGACAGCTACATTAGAACTCCATAGTCACTCCACCTGTAATAAAAGTCCACTCCGTGTTTTGAATGAGTTCGGAGCCAAAGAGGAAGTATGTTAGTTTCTTTGGCACACAGCACAAGCCTGCCCTGGCCTTTCCCAATTCACCAAGCCAAAGTTTACCTCTTGTGTAGTCTGCGTAAACAAAATATGTTGTTTGATATTTAAAAAAAAAAAAAAATCCCAACAAAATATTTGAGCCTGAGCCTGATAATTTATGACGCAGCTCTAGTTCACCTTTTAGACTGAAAAAAATCCCCTCAATGTATATATATATATATATATATATATATATATATATATATATATATATATATATATATATAGATAGATAGATAGATAGATAGATAGATAGATATAGATATAGATAGATAGATGTTTAAAACTTTAAAACAAAATACGACACAACATAGTGAAATGTTTTCAAAAGCATTCTTTTACTTGAACCTAATTCTGAGAGAAGAAATTAAGGTTTACTTCAGAAACAAATACATTTGCTTGTTAGACCTAGCAAAAGTGAATTGAGACTTGAGCTTTTTGTGATAACAGAAACAGAACCGTGGTTGGAGTAGAGTTAGCATTATAAGCATTATAAATCTATAAATCTAATCTACTACTACTAGTAGTAGCTGTTGTAGTAATTTAACACTTTTATTTATTTATTTTTTTACCTTTATAATAAGGCTTATAACTGCAATTTGTGCAATTTTTTATGTTCTTATGCTGTATATTCATGCATATGTGCTCTCAAAATGCCATAGTGATCCTATGCACTTGTTGGAGCCTGGAGGGGGTTGGTCTGACACAGTAACAGCAGAAGGCAGTAGACCGCTGTTTTGGACGTCACATATTCACCACAGAGATCTTTGAGGGCAAATGTTTAGCGGCTGTAACTGGGAGGAGGGAGTGCGCCGAGAGGGAGGGGGTTACAGTGTGCACATGGTCCAGAGGCTAACGAAGGGGTCCAGTGAAGCAGACTTCTATGTGGGAGTGGGCAAACAGTAACTCTAGCCTGTCTGGGACTACTGCTGCGACTTCCCCAATTTTAGAGGAGGGTGATTGCATGAAGGGACTGTATTCTCAATCTTTAAGCCTTTGTGTCCTCCGGATGTCACGCTCACCCAGCCTCTGTACCTCCAAGTGTTCCCGGGAAGCTGGCTGCTACATGCATGTTGTCCGGGGGTCCGAGCGTGGGCATGGACCCTCTCGGACCTGAGTATATGTCCGTATGTCTGTTGGCAGATGAGTCCTACCAGAAGTTGGCGATGGAAACCATGGAAGAGCTGGACTGGTGTCTAGATCAGCTGGAGACTATTCAGACGTACAGATCTGTCAGCGATATGGCCTCAAACAAGGTAAGACAAAGCCAATATAATATTCTCTATGCTCTATGTGCTATATAGTCATATGTGCAGGTGTGAAAACAGTTTTAAAACTGGGTTAATTTAGGAATAAATCAGCTAAACCCAAAACTAAACAAGGACTAGAATAAGACCAAACCATTACTGTGTGAAGTGTGAAATAAACGTACCCTAAATCTGTCTAATCTGGTTCATTTTGACATTTAAATAAACTATTTCCATCATTCAGTAAAAGAACAAATGACTAAATTTAGACTAGAGTATTTTGTGTTTTTGTTTTAATTTAGAGGGTTAATTAAATCATTAGATCATTTTGATTCTAGGGCTAAGCTTTCCATGATGGACCAGTGCCTCATTCAGAAACAGAGAATGTAAATTGATTTTAAGGATATGAAGTACAGCAGTTTTAATTTTTACCTTAGTAATTTCAAACATGCTCCTTTGACAATGCCTGCTGTTTCTTCACTGACATAATGATTGCCACAGGACCTCCCAGGAACAAAGTGTAACCAATACTGAGATCACAGACCACTGGGCTGATGAATGGCTATCTCAATTTTGATTGTTTTCAACTTCATTTTTGTTTGTTAGGAGAAAACAGCCCTTATGTCCCTGTAATATGCTCTGAATGGCATGATAACATGAGGGCTGAAGTTGCTGATTCACGACTCCATAGTTGCTCTTTGTTGCCCTGAGGCTGTGTCTCTTCATACTGTATGCAAAATGTAAATTACCGTTTGCCACACTGACGCACTTGCAAAGTAATAGCCTTTCTGTGGTAAGGTTTTTGTTTATACACACAGGCTTATTTGATAAAGCCATTTGACTTCCTCTTGCTTTTCTAGATTTGCATAATTTCCATAGAAGAACTGTTCATGTAACAAGTGAAAGTATTGATGTAATATCCTCCAACTTGATCTACTTTAATGTATGCATTATTTTATGATGTACTGCATTTTGCACACAGGTCAAAAACATGACTGTTAATATTAGACACATTTTGCAAGTTGCTACAGCATGTACTTCTTTATTAAAACAATATTTATGCACTTTTGGGCTACTGTTGGCTCAGGCGACAGTTTGGCAGCATGGCATTGTAAACAGCAGGGAGGTGGTATCCGTTTCCGTGGTTATTGTCCACAGTGGATCAGCAGAGGCAGACTGTGACCATGACACACGTTTCCTGCAGTTTCACTTCCTGTGGCCCCGGCTCCCCGTCAGAGGACCACAATAGGATCACAATAGGACCAGTACGACACAACCAGACAAACACACTCAGACTTTACAGAGTCAGATTTTACAGAGTCAGACTTTTCAGAGTCAGACTTTACTGACACCAACGTCATTGGGACCAGCAAGACAATGAGCAAGGCCCTGAGCGGCTGTTAGTTATACAGGCACAGTTCATTGTTGAAATATAGCCCAGTTATTATGACCCTGAGGAGCAGTATTCAACCGCATAATTTATGTCTTGTTGTTGAAAAAAGTGACCTTGAACCAGGAAAATAAAAGTAATCAAATTCTTTAACATTTAAAACTTAAAGAAAAAAAATATTTTATTAATTACACAAACATGTTACTTATATTTTTGGCAGCCAGTTAATTGGTGAATTAGACCATAACCATCTAAATATTTATTACATTTTACTGTCTTATTACCTATTTAATACTTACCTAGACATTGCTCAGCATTTAAAGCACTGAAAAGAAGTATTTACATTTAAAATCATTCAACTGGGTCTTTCAGAAACTTTCAGTGTTGCATTATGAGCTTTATCATATGACATTCAACTTCAAACTACATGTTCTGTCCAAACCACAAATGTTGTAACCAAAACCTTTATGAAACCTTGGTTACGTCCTCTTCTTTCTCCCCAAGGGCGCAGGTGTGCTCCAGGTCCAGTGGGACCACACACTCTGCTCTTTGCCTCCCTGTGTGCTCCGACCTGGGCTGTATATGCGCTGCTCCCCTGCTCTGCACTATGATTACTCGGCCGCACTTCCACCCTTTACCCTGGTGACGGCCTTGCACAAACACCGCCATCTGAATCCAGTTAGCGCAGTTTAGCTCTTTGTGGGTTAGCGTGCGAGCGAGCCCCTGGCCGAGAGCTGGCGAGTAGGAAACTTTAACGCACGTGTGGTCAGTCTGGCTTTGAAGCACCGCTGTCTTCAGAGAGGGGGGAAAATAATATGACAAAATTATTGTAGCAGATGGAGTGGTGGGTCTGAACTGTTGAATAAGCCATGGATATGAAATTATAGTGTGGTGATGTTTGAATTAAAAGTAAGGATAGAGCTAAATGAAACATTCTTTGCACCTTGTCCCTTTTCAGTGGCTTCCAGGAAATGTTTCTAAGGTTGCAAAAGTCTGAAAGTCCAGGAAAGATTCAAAGTGTGTTGACATAACAAATATATTAGAACAGGAACAGCATTTCCTCATTCAGGGCTTTTGCTGCATAGCAGGAGCAATAGAGAGGTGGATAGATGGGAGTAAAAATACTCAGGGGTAATATTACCTTGAAATGATAGGTATTACATTTAAACATATATGTGTTTATAAAAGCAAAATCAAGCATCAAATATTGCAACTTTAGCATTTTCAAATTGAATGTATATGTTTAATCAAACTAAACATATAAATATAAATCTAGAAATATCAAATAGCCAACATGAAATTAAAGAATTCATATTATTTTAAAATATTACACATAAATCCAAATAAATCACAGGCAGAAATATGATCCAAAAATTAAAACTGACTAATGAATACATCACTTGCAAAATACACTATTAACAGCTGCATGACGAAATTAGTAATTGACAAATCAAAGTTACCTGTGTAAAGTAACTACCAACTAACTTAAAAGAAAGATATGTCATTTGAGACTTCCCCTGTCAGACAGGCTTGTGGGACTTTTTTCAGATGACGATCACAAATATGTGACTAGCCTATTGCCTGAAGCCTGACTGTAGTACCGTGCCTACCAGTAAATGACCTCAGCTATTATGAGGAAAAAGGAGAAGTAAAAAGGAAGTAGGTGGTACAAGTAGAGGCCTGTGAGAGGAGGCGGAGTCTCTAGTTTGCTTGTTAGTCTGTGTAGGCCAGTCCTAGGAGTCAGTTTTATCGTGATATATTTCCTGCCAGACGCCACATCAGTGAAAAATACTGAGAGGAAACCATCTCAGCCACTTTATTCTTTTGGAGGTTTTCTGAGTTTCTTTTTTGGTGCGTTCAGCTGCTCTTAAGTTACAATGGGACTATGTTGCTCTGAAAAGGAGAAGGGAAACTTTGCCATACTTACATGTTGGAAAAAGGTGAGTGCAATTAAGAGGGCTTATATATAGTAGAAATGAGAATGACTTAAAACTATAGAATATAAGGTTTTCCTTTATGTTAACTTATTTTTACTCTAAAGTCAGAATAAAGTTAGTCGAATTTGTTTTAAATATTATTATTGTTGCTCATGTTTGGTCTTGGTTTAAGGTGTGATGACAGCTTATTTTTAATGTGATTTTCATGTGGTAAAGCATGTAAATGATGAGTTTTTGAACATTCAAATTTGGCAACAGTGCATTACTGCAATACTTTTTGACCTGTACAATTGTGAAGGTTACTCAAGGCACATCTTGTCCTGGGGTGAAGTAATACTTAAGGATGTATGTGTTGCACATACATGTGTTGGGAAATGTCCTTTGGGTTGCTCACTTTGACTCTGGGGACAGACACTTCCTGTAGGTAAATGGGCCCCACTAGTGCGCTGCTTTAAGGAATCAATTACCATTTGTGTGAGACTGGAACTGTCTCATCTGCGCCCAGCGTTTGTCCTCACTAGAACTCTTTGATTTTTATGGACTGCCTCTGGCCCGCGCCAACTCTTTGAACGCTCAGTTCAAGTTTCACCGTTAAGTAGATCATAGACGTCTGTTAAGAGTTATTAGACAGTTGAGCCTGGAGAGAAAGGGATGAAACATAAACCTTGCTATTTGACCAAAAGGGATTCCAGTTCCAGTGGATTAACTGCCTTGTGTTGTTTTTATAGATGGGTTTAGTTGTACATGTCCAGTGTATCTTGTGTGATGGTTCATGACTCATGAGTCAGTGTGTGATGAGATGTGTGTTAAAAGTGGGAATCACCGTGAGAAATACAGAGGGGCCACGTGATGCTGTTGCCATGGCGTTTAGGGTGTTCTGCTATTGGTGGGTCACTGGTGGTCTGCATTTCCAAACAATGCTTGTTTGTCTCACAACACAGTATAAAATAAATATACACAGAAATGACAATGCTGTGGATTCCACATCATGTTGGATAGATAAGTATTTTGGATGGTACATTTGTTGTATTTGATCTTGTCTCAAACATGTGATAAACTGCACAGTGATCTGCATTGGTAAAATACGCAGATGAGGTGGGGAGAGACATTTGCCTGCCCATAAAACACCAGCTCAAAATAAAGAGTATTTGAAGCTGGTGTTGAGGATTCCTGATTTCTGCAGCAGTCTTTTGTACATGGTTCAGTGCTCACAGAGAGAGAGGGAGGGCTGTCTGCCACAGGGGACTGCACAGCGCCCCCTCCTCCTCCCTCCCATCCTCCTCTGTCTCGAAGCCATTACCAGTCTGGAGTCCGGACGACTGGATTTCCCCTCTGGAGGTGACGGAATGCAGGATGGACAGTGGGATATAGTGGACAGAGAGATTTGGAGAGCGTGACTGGACAGGACCGTGACGAACAGAAAAGCATTAAGGAGTTTGCATCACAGGGGATTCCATCGGTCCTGGAGGATAGCGGCTTTGAGATGAGGAGGCGCATTTGTTTTTCGGGGACATAGGACTGCATAGGATACTGGTTGGGCTGCAGGGCTGAGCTGTGCCTTGGAGATTCTCTCAGAGAGGAGCATACAGGGCTTCTGCTGGAGAGCACCAGGGGCCAGGACAGCTCAGCATCATGCCTGAAGCCAACTACCTGTTCTCTGTGTCCTGGGGATACATTAAGGTGTGTCCATGTGGTCTGGTTATTGTCACATTTTGGCTGGTTGCTAGACTGACATGTTCCCTGTATGGCTTCTGATAATAATCTGTAGGTTGTTTGGGATGCCAGTATGCTGTTGATGTGTCTCTATTTGTGTCTGAAAAATGCACACCATTATACACAATACTCCTTGTAAAATGTAGTACTTATATTTCTCTTTAGTATACATTTTGTAAATTTTGCCATGTTTTTTGTGTTTAGTTCAAGAGGATGCTGAATCGAGAGCTAAACCACCTGTCCGAGATGAGCCGATCTGGCAACCAAGTGTCAGAGTACATCTCCAATACCTTTCTCGGTAAGTTTAACCCCACCTCGAAATACACTGCAGCCACCTCTGTGTAAATTGACTCTTTGCCCATGTCAGTACACAGCAGATGTTATTGAGGTTATCCATACATATGAGAGGCAGCAGTGAGAGGCTACAGCAGTGCTCTTAAACCAGTTTAATCTGGTCTATAACAGAGATGGAGTATCCCCATGTGCAGACTGCAGAGACATGAGGTGGGAGGGGGCTCGGCTGGGGAAGTCTTTTCTCTAGAGAGATTAGGGGCAGTCTGTTTTTGAGGGAGAATGCATCTGTATGTATTATTTAGAATTTAAAATATAGCACAAAGCAATGCTTTTGTTTGTTTTTTGTTTGTTTTTATTGCATTTACAAATCCTTATCCCAAACAAAGACGAAATGAAATGTTTTTATGCCAGCGTGCAAGGGAGAAAACTCAAAAGCTTGCTTGTAAACAAATATGCTAATTTTACCATCTGTTTTTTGACATTGACGCAGCCCGCTCCTGTCAACAAGACCAGAATCATTTGACTTTGTTGAAACTCTATGAGTGTTCAAATTATGAAAAAAGGGTTGTTGCCATGGCAGTTAACAATTTAAAGCTAAATATATCTTTTGATTGGGAAAAAGTCCTCAAAATGTTGCATTTAACAGGAATCTGAAACCTTTGAATATTTTGGTTTCCTGTTATGAGTGATGCAAAGCCCTATCTATCATGTCATCTGCATACCCAATGTGAGGGAGTCAGAGCTAGAGCCAAAAAACAGAATTGCATGCTCTACACAAACCCACATCCAAAAGTGCCTGCTCTAAACATTTCAGCAAAACTCAAACCAGCTTTCCACTCTTCTGCGTATTGTTGTGGCTACATTTCCTTGAAAGCCACACTGCTCATAACCACACAACCCTACACATAAAATGCACAATATGACCTTTTTGATGAGCTTTTGTTTTCAAACAATTGTTAATGAATCATGTCTGCATAATTATGAAAAAATCAGCGCTAGTACATTTCCAGTGCGTTGACATCTAATTGTGAGAGGTCAGTCATCTCACTGTGTTAATGCTGTTTACTTACAGCAGTGACAGTCAGCATGCTTCTCTCAAGGGCCATGTGTGTTTTTCCCCCACTAACTAAATTTGTGCATGTTTTTATTTATTTCATTCAGACAAGAAGATTGATTTGGACCTTCCCTGTCCGGTCCCCAAGTCGAGGGAAAGGAAAAGACGGCAGGGCCCCCATCACCACCACCAGCAGCAGCCACAGCAGCAAAGTGGGATGATGAATCAGATCAGCGGGGTTCGAAAACTCAGCCATTCGCCAAATATTTCTGGGAGCACGGTGCAACGCTTTGGGGTGAAAACAGATCAGGAAGAGCTTTTGTCAAAGGTATGCATTAAATGGCCCCTAAAGCACTTAAACAGTTGTGTAATGTGAAGAATTGCAGCTTACGGAGGCCTCTTTTTCATTGTGTTACAGGATCTGGAAGACATTAATAAGTGGGGTCTCAACATCTTCAAGCTGGCGGAGCATTCCCACAACAGGCCGCTCACATGCATCATGTACACCATTTTCCAGGTTAGTCTCAAAGCATACATTTTTGCAACATGACATTTTAATATACACCATGTAAGAAAAATATTATTTTATTTTCAGTTTAAGTTGGAAAGTGCAAAGATTTAGGCACAAATACTTACAGTGGTTAATAGTGTTTTCCCACTTGCACTACATAAAATTGGGACTAAACCATGTCTAGGACCAACCCATCTACATCTGGACTAAATTGGACTTAAACCAGAACCAAACCAAAAGTGTGTACACATCCTTAGGCAAAGCTGCAATACCAGTGAACAGTGAACACAGAAGTAAAAATCCACATGTTTAAACAGCAAATCTTAGTTTCTTGCCTTTTTCTACGTTTTTAACCTCTTCTGTGTTGTGCGCAGGAGCGGGACTTGATGCGAACATTCAAGATTCCAACGGACACCTTTCTGACGTTCATGCTGACCCTGGAGAGCCATTATCACTCAGATGTAGCCTACCACAACAGCCTGCACGCTGCTGATGTTGCCCAGTCCACACATGCGCTCCTGTCCACCCCTGCCCTTGACGTAAGTGCCCAATGGACACTTTGTACGAACTCTTTGTAATTACTGAAGACATGGTGTAAGTCCAAGTAAAACATACAGTCAAACTGCATCATACAGTAATTTGTGGTTTCAAGGCTGCACCTTTATGGTAACCTATTTTGTTTATTTAAGACAATTGATGCTGCCGTCATCAATTTAATTCAAAACTACATCTTAACAATGGCTGACACATAGAAAAGGGAAAGGCAACAAACCCTAGCGCTACATTACCTTATAAGGCAAGTTCATATGCCTGGTCATAACAGTGTTTTATTTTCTTTATTTTCAGGCTGTATTCACAGATCTAGAAATCTTGGCAGCCATTTTTGCTGCAGCTATTCATGATGTGGATCATCCTGGTGTGTCCAACCAGTTTCTCATCAATACAAGTAAGTCTTTTCATGTGAACTTTCTTTTATTTAATATCTTTGTCTCCGTGGATATGATTGCTTTGTCTGGAATTTTCCACTTGCATTTATTCAATTACAGATATTTTTATAGCCAAATACCTTGATGCAATCATTTCTGCACAGATCTGACCTGTAACTTAGCCTAGTTTAAGTCAGGAAAATCAATAACATATCCAAGGAAACAACCTGAAAAGTTCCATAGTACACCTTTAAAACTTTCAAAACATATCTAAATAAAGCTGGCATGACAAAATATTTAATAAATGCTTTCTACCCTTCCTCCACAGACTCAGAGCTGGCTCTGATGTACAACGATGAGTCAGTGTTGGAAAACCACCACCTGGCTGTGGGCTTCAAGTTGCTGCAGGAGGACAACTGTGACATCTTCCAAAACCTCACAAAGAAGCAGCGGCAGACACTGAGGAGGATGGTCATAGAAATGGTGAGCTACTATGCATGTATATTTATGTGTTTCCTGCTTAACTTTTCAATACTCTTTTCACGTGTGACCTCATTATATAATTTTATGCCTTCTAGGTGCTGGCAACTGACATGTCGAAACACATGAGTCTGCTGGCTGATCTCAAAACTATGGTTGAAACTAAGAAGGTGACGAGCTCTGGAGTTTTGATGCTTGATAACTACACAGACAGAATGCAGGTAAATAAGCTACAACAACCTTTATTATGATTACAGTGAGAAAAAACATATTTACTAGAGGGATCAATTCTAAATAATTTAATTTTTTTTCAGGTTTTACGGAATATGGTTCACTGCGCAGACCTCAGCAACCCCACCAAACCTCTAGACCTTTATAGACAATGGACAGACAGGATTATGGACGAGTTCTTCCACCAGGGGGACAGAGAAAGGGAAAGGGGGATGGAGATCAGCCCAATGTGTGACAAACACACTGCCTCTGTGGAGAGAACACAGGTATATAACATTTCTTACCTCATTTACGCACTGAGGGTTATAAAAGTGAAAGTTACAGTTCAGAATAGTCAATATAAAAATCACTGAACACTTGAAGATAGGCAATTATTGCTGTTTCAACTATGGAAGAAATTGTTTAATGGAAATAATCAGATTTATAGATCAGATTTGGTTCCATATAACTTGTTTTCCAGTTATTTTCTTAATCATAGTACAACATGAAATAAAAACAGAGTCATGCTCTACTTTTGAGATCTATGTTTTTATTTAAATTGACAAATCTTCCTTTTCTAGGTGGGCTTCATCGATTACATTGTTCACCCGCTTTGGGAGACGTGGGCAGACTTGGTCCACCCAGACGCCCAGGACATACTGGACACTTTGGAGGACAATCGAAACTGGTACCAGAGCATGATTCCACAAAGCCCCTCCCCGCCATTTTACACCGGCGATGGAGAAGGAAGCTCGCAGGGAGAGCTTGAGGAACCCCCTGTGTCCAGTAAATTCAAATTTGACCTAACAGTAATGGACCAAAGTGGACAAGCTGGACAGAGGGATAGTGGGACTATACACGCAAGTGTTGACGGTGTGCCAGATCAACCATGTGATGAAAGTCAAGATGCTGAGACATAGCCAAAGACTTTTGACTGAAGGTTTTGCTCATTTTATTGCAGTGGAGAAATCCTGCAATGTGGCTCTTTGAAGCTGCCTGGCAAAGAGGGGCTGACTGTATGCAGGCCCCTGCGATTGAGGCTGGGAAAGCCCTCAGCAGTTTGTTGAGCTGCTTAGAGGGGGGCTCGATGAGTGTGTCCTCTGTTCTTTGATTGAGGGACTGCTGCTGAGTGCAGAGGCAGAGCTGGATGCCACAGGCTCCACAGTGAAGAGGACAATATAAATGTAATACACAAAATGGGACGGTTTGAGACTTGCACTTCAGGACATTTGTACCTTTTTTTTTTTTTATATTGTTTTGGGAATGGATTTTCCTTGAGTGTCCAAGTTGAACAACTGGTTGAAAAATTCTTTGTAAGCCTAGTAGTTTTTGTCTACAATGTTGTGTGCCTTTTTCATAATTTATTGAACATGTCATGTAGCTGTAAAATGTGCAACTTTTTCTACCAAGAGGACATTGTCACCTCAGAGTCTTCCCCGATTTTCAGCAATAGTAAGCGCTTGTTCTTACAAAACAGAATTTTGCACTTTTGGATCAAAATAACTTTGCTGCAAGATGTGCGATACAGTGTCCAGTTACCAAAATAAGACTGTTTTTCTTTATGTAAGCAATTAATAATATTCACCGACAGAAATATCCAAAGAATTTTGCATGAAGTACTTCAGTGTTCAGTTCTTCCTTAAAACTCAATTGTGTGAGCCCTTCCACCAAACTGTAGCCTGAGTTCTGAGTGCAGGCAAACTAATGACCTTGTTTAATACTGAGCCGTTCCTATTACGGAAAATGTGTTCCTACCTTGTAATTTCCCCTTGTTAGAACACACACCTGTTGCGGTTAGGGATTTTAAAGCATTCCTTTTTCATGAATGCCGCTTTACACCATTAGTCATTTTGAACTCTGAGTGACTGTAGACTACGCGCACATTTTAAAGACAACTGTTAGGTTGATATGTAATAATTGTAGTAATTGTACCATGTAGTTTTTATTGCAGCACTTTGAATAAGTGGACAGTCTTGCAACTGGTTGCAGATCTGTCTGTCTCTACCTTAAAGGTACCATGATGTGAGTGATTGAGGGAGTTTTCGTCATGTCTACACCTGACGTCTCTCTGCGTGTGTGTGAATGTGTCACAATGTTGCACAATTCTGTTGCACCCAGCTATTTGTAAAGTATATTTATTACCTTCTATAATATTGATAATAATTAATATTTACTGGATATTTGCTATTTATATTAGTATGCACTACACTATCACAGACTGAACTGGCCTTTGTATGTAAAGCAAACCATAACATCATGCTCAGTGTTCCAATGTGTTTGATGTAGGCCTCATTTTGTATAGTTCATTTTCCACACCTGGTTGTGGCAGAGTCTACCTTTTTTAGTCTTTACTTTGAATGAAGGTGTACAATGACTGGTCATTGTGCAGCCAGGAATATTCACTGAAATGTTAACATTGTTTCAAATGTTTGCTTCAGTGTTTTTCTTAAAATTTCTTTAATTTGTGTATGTTGTGTTCAGATGTTTTGTAATCAGTTTATTAAAATGGGCATGTACTACAGTCTGTTGTTTGAATGTGTCATTTAACCTATAGCCTCAAAATGGGCATCTATGTTTTTACTTGCATTATCTTGGGGCAACAGTGGTGGATCAATTTCCACTCTACCACAGTACTATGGGAAACATGTTAAATAGCCAAAAGATTAAAAAAAAAAAAAGTTTGACATACAACCAAATTACATATACATACTATGCAAAGTGTACTATTGGAATTAGGCATGAGTATTCATAAATTGCAATGACAAGAATTTCCTGAAACAAGACCTGTGGATTAAAAGCAGGCTATAATTAGGCCCCTCACGATAATTACAATATCGACTTATTGTACTATATATTTAAGATGGAACAATATATGTTGGGGCTCAATATACTGTGGATACTTTTTCTTTGCCATAGTGAAGAGATTTTAGCTATTTTTGTGTAATACATTAAGCTTTGAGTTGTAGAGGGTAGAATAAATAACTGCTAATTATTCTTCCATTTATTTGTTGCAGCTCAGGCTTCTTAATGATAATATATTATACATCAGTGTGAAAAGTGAGTTTACTGGGATTACTGCTTTGTGTCAGTGGTGTAAAGTAGTTTCAATATTATCTTTTATCACAGCATATCTCTGTAGCAATATATCGTTTCAAAATTTGTTATTGTGACAGGCTTAGCTATAATGTTAACAGCAAGGCTGAATAGTGTTATGTGCAGGGCCTTCTCCCATGATTCTGAGCACCTTGACCCTGATAACAACTCAAAATGTACTGTTCAGGTTCTTCCAACAAGTCAAGCTAGCGTGAAGACGGAGATGACGGCTCAGATTTTATCAGGTGCTTGTTCCACACGTACACCGGTTTATTCATTGTTTGTTCTGACAAAAGCAGAATGAAACCACACACAACATGAAAGGTATCTACTGCAAAATATTGTTTTAGTTTGCACACATTGCAAACACATTTACTAATGAGCTACCACACCTAAGACTTTCTCAGCCATTTGTGTTACAACAATAATACAGGAACAAGACCCATTCATACCTATCCATGGGTTGCAGAAACAAAAAATTAGGACAGCTGCCATGGTGATTAACAATATTAAACTAAATATTATATCTTTTGAATTGTCCTCATATTGCTGAAACCCATGAATTACAACTGGGTTTGATTAAATTCTTGAGGCTCTTCTAACATGTTGACTCTTAATAAATGTTTCCTTGGAGATCCCAGTTGAAATTCTGATGCAGATGTTTTGCCCTTCATTCCCACCCATGCATGGCAAGTGGCCTAAACTGGAAGATATATTACCCTGCATTCCCCATCACTTGTCATAAGAACAACTGATTGTCCCCCATGCTGCCCCTGTTCCCATCATAAGGGTAGTAGAATGATAGAGTCAGGTAAACACAGACAGTTGGGAGTTCCATAGAGGCACAGGTCTGCAGTGATGTGTTTCAAACGACAACAACAGTCCCGTGGTCCAACGTCAGCAGAACAACAGCCCTCGTGCCACCATCTCCCAATGTAGTTACCATGGAGACACAATGTACACATTATCAAACACAGACAAAACAGTTTTATTCAAGAGACTCAAGAAAAAATACAAACAATGTATTCAAGGATTCAAACAACACATTCTCAAGAACCTGTGATCATTACAAGCATTCATGGTCTTTTCACGAGTTTGATTTTGACAAGAGTTAGAGTTAATTTATTTGAACATTTTTTAAAACGGTATGAAGGCACAACATGTAATCTCCATACTCCCAGAACATGCACATTTAGCAAAGAAAGAAAGGAACAAAATAAAGATAATAACATTGTTAAAAACATTCATTGTTCAAAAAAGGAGTAGGAAGAAGCATAGCTTATTTTAATCCTATGCCTATAATTTACAATATTCAGAAGTTATGAATATTATAGTGTATCTTTAAACATTTGACATTAGATAAATCTGATGGGAAAAAAACTAAAAATTTCACCAAAAAGGTGAGAGAGTGAATAACAATAGCAATGCTATCTTATGTGTGAGAAACTTGTTTAAGAGCACAAGAAATCTCACCTGTTGTAGTTCCAGCTAAATCAGTTATATCTGATTGGGCTAAAATAAAGCACAGAAAGTCTAACTTGAGTCACAGAGATTCAGATTAAGTAGTGTCTTCAGTTAGCATCATACCTCCAGGGAATGTTGATGGCATCAGCTGCAAAGTATCAATACAGATAGGGGCAGTATTTTAGAAATAATAGAAATAACCAGGATCAGCATTTGAGAATTTACCTTTTAAACCATCAAAAGCCAATGTCCAATGTGTTGTATGTTTTAGTTTTGGCTAAAACATTCTGTTCCAGTTATCTTTACCAATTTAAATTTATGCATTGTTGTTTTATTCATCTTAACTTATTTATTTATTTATTTGAGCATAATTTTCCACACATTACAGTAAGTACATTGTCATTTGTGTACATAGTTGAGGTGCTCAAAAGAGTACATAGAAGTAAAAAAAAAAGAAAAAAGAAAATATTAATTTTTCTACCCCCTACTCCTGAATATTATATGCCTGTAGAATTCAATTACAATTTAGAAAATATAGAAACATTTTTGTACATGTGACAACAGCAGTACAAGAATATTATATAGTAAATGATTCACAAGAGCAAACAACAAAAATGTGCAATGCAGCAAGTTCAGTTAACTTGCCATTCTGTTCTACATATTTTTTTTTAACATAAATCATTTGAGTGTTCTTTTAAATTAATTGAAGTTAGTACAGTTTAAAAAAATAAAAATGGTTTAAATGTTCCAGACATCAACATTACACCTTGAAATATACGCTTTCTTCATAGTTGTGCAGTTGTGCATGTTTTTTTTTTTTTTTTTTTAGAAATATAAATTGAGAGTATTCCTCTCAATTTATATCGCCCTAGTCTGTTTGAAAGTAAAACTATTTTGTTTATTACTCTATTATATTACATATTTATATTAACCAGGAAACTGTTGCTATAACCATTTAAAACACAAAAATATGCATATAACAGGATGCTGATTGGATTTCTGTTAAATTTACATTATAGCTTTATGTGCATGTTTTGTTACTCTATGCACCAAATGTCATAACAACCATTATGGCAAATTCATATGGCTAGAAATTTCTGAAAAAGACTAGCCCCAGCCTAAGCGGACTCTGTCAGAGAGGGCCTGGGGCGAGGAGCCAAAGCGGACAGGAAGAGAACCACTTCCATCAAAACAAACCTGCACTTTCCAAATATTCACTTCATAAAAACATACTTTTCCTGAGAGCCTGTTTCTGCTGCTGTTTGTTGGTAGTTTGGTCAAAAGTAACACAAGTCTAATCCATTTCAGCCTGAAATGACTCATTCTAGAGTAATTTAATTGTGTTCCTGACATGGCAAAGATCAGCCGAGAGTGGTCGAGACAGATGCCTTAGAAATGAGCTAGTGTTGTGTTCTTAGTCAAAAATAACTCAAAAAGATAAGATTGAGTCACCTGCTTCCTGCTCTTATAGGTCAACCCACTTGTTGCAAATGATAGATAATGATAAATTCTAAACAAATATATTTGTTCTGACAACATATTTCGATAAATAAATATACAATTTAGTTAATAGTGACTTCAAAATATGTTTACCTAGAATCCAAGTCCAGAGTGTGTTTGTTAAAGCATTTGTTTAT